CTAACAGGAAATAGCTCTATTGTCCTGAGGGGTGTGGGGGGGGAGGCCTTAAAAATGTGGTTTCTATGTTAGACTATGGTTTTGCAATATCTGGTGGCTGCACTACCTCCATTTTCTCCTTAGTCCATTTTTAAATGTTTTGGCATTTTGGATTAAGCCCATGTCCCCAAAGAAGGACCATCGATTTCAAAGTTCTGAGAGTTTGCTGAGGAAAAAAAACAAATAAAAAAACATCTGGTGGACAACAAACCAGTTCTAAACTTTGATGATACCATTTCTAAGATGTCGCAAAACTGCTCAAGGATGGGCGCTGGATTCAAGTTTGACCGTGTCCTAATCATGTCCACAAATTGAGGGACGCATTGCACAACCGCCATTAAAGCGAAAAAAAAAATAAGATTGTTTTCTTTGATCAGCTGTCATAAGAACTCATGGTCGAATTAGTGGCCAAATTTCCGGAGTATGCTGCAGTTTCTAGGAAGTGTGACGAATTTTCGTGGTAGTTACACGCATATGTTTGGAAACAAAAATCCTTTCTGCCATGTCAGAATGCATGTATATTCGGCGCCAACTTTCTATGCCAGGCTCACGCGCTTCCCGTAAATCTGCTTTCATTTCCTGAAAGTGTACTTATGTTGTTTATAAATTGTCGATCTGTACAAATTACTCACAATTTCAAAATCACTTAAGACGGATAATTCTCCTCTCAAATCTCTTTGTTTACCATTAAAAAAAATGTGAGATCATACAGATTGCGTAGATTTTAAGAATAACCGAATTTATTTCATGTAGACAACATAACAATTTATAGATTACTTCTCAAAGTGCCGGAAGTATACGGCATAGTTTTCTGGCATCTCTAATTACAAACTCAAAAATTTGCAAGACAATGTAGGTTTGTGAAATGTGTTTATGAAATACTCTGGTTTCTAAAGATACAAGGAATTCAAAGGATTAGCAAGGACAGTGGCATTGTCTGAGGATTGTTTAATCTGAGGAGTTAGGTATTCTGCTAATTAAATTACGAAAGGTGATATAACAATTCGAGTTTTCCATTCGCAGCTATGTTGAGGGCAGACGTTGCTGTTTATATTGCGTTCGGGTGATAAACAATTGCAACGCAAGAAGTTTGTCGGCAGAGGTATTTCCGTACTTTCAGGATCTACTTCAGGAAACCATTACAACTTTGCGTGCATTCTCAACTCAGTTGCCAACGGACGTGACAAAGATGGCACAGTCGGGAAACATTTTGGAGAAGAAATGGCAGCAGATGACTTACGAAAAACACCGACAGAGAGTAAGAACATTATCAATTCATCTTTTACTTGAGGGAGAAACAATTAAAGGAGTTAAAGTAAAGAAATCCTGTCGGTGTTGTTATTTCGTGTATATGTTTTGGTGTTTGTGTCAAGTAACAACAAGCAAACCTTACAAAGTCAAGAGTTGTTATCTACTTTAGAAAAGTCAACGAGTGTGAGGTTTGTCCTCAGGAAATAAGAGAGCTTTATTTAAGGTACTGTAGGTTATGCATGGATCTTTACAAATTGGCTTTTATGATCCCTTCATTACCTTGTTTACTTTGTTAATGCAGTTATGATTGTGGTTTACCATGAGGTGTTTTTATAGAACTCCAATCCTCGAAAACACGTATTCCCCTTGAAAACTGTTGTTGAGGAATTGTTTCCATAAAAGTTCTACTTGACATGCTTACCAAATATTTGAGTAATTTCTCAAAACAGAGGAATCTACATTAGATTTTGAATCTCTAGACTTACGCAATGAGCGCGCGCTTGATACAAACAGAAACCTTCACGCATGTCGACAAGCACTAAAAGGAGGTTAAAGGACTTTGATTGCATAAATAATTTACCAGTCAAAGCCTCGTTCAGTATTTTCATTGTTGTGGTAATTTTAAAGTACTTTTTCTCCTGCAGCTTAAAGAGACAAAATCTACGTTAAAAGGAGAAACCACGCTACAGTTTAACGACGAAGAGGCCCAGATGCAAATGAGATTCAGGCGGATTATGGTGAGCTTTCCTAATTTTCTATCGAATGTTGAAAATAACTCGGGGCTATATTGATTTTTTTCTCTCTTCGCTCTGTGATTGTTCCAAAAAAGTCACGCCTCACTCTCAAATAATCATCGCAATCCGATGACTGACTTAGAATAGATCGCCATTTAGTTACTTAAGTTTTTCCGCACTTCGGGAAGTTTTCTTGTGTTTACTTTGAGATCTCATTGGTTGCGTGTCAATTCTTTCTCTTTTCCCGATTTCCAACCTTTGTTAGCGTCAGCTAGAGTGGACATAAAAATGAGAATTTTAATACTTACACATCTTCCTTTTCTCGGTACTAATTTAACATGGTGACTGTTCAATAGAGAGGATTTTATATTTTGAAAGTCTAAAGGAAGACCATTAAACAGACATCATTTAAGTATTTTAGATCGACTGCACTCTCTGGCTGTTTTCGTCAGTCACTGATGAATGTTAATTTTCTGTGGTCCTCATTTGATCATTACAGGCCGAAGAGCAACGACAGGCTGTAATCGAAAAACAAAACCACAAGCTACTGCAAAGAATTGTGGATATTATGACATCGAAAAAGAAGAGATTTCCCGTGACAAGTACCAACGAGACAAAAAGAAAGGTATAACGAATTGTCTCGAGGGTCATCCCTTGAGGAAAAGAGATGAAAGAAGACTCAATCGGCAGACTTGAATAATTATTGCTACCTCGCACTTACAAGATTTCACCTGGCCAATTCTTCAAACCATATCCAAAAACCAAGAATAAGAAAACCATCAGCAAATTGCTAAATTAGAAGGCGTCTCACATAGCTCACGTTTGGATTGTGTAAAAAATATCTGCCATCTATCTACGGATGAGGCCTTATCTAAAAATCAGATCACTGCGAATACAATAGTTCAGTATTGGGACGCTTTGCGGACCTATGTAATTTAGGCCACTCCATTATTACTTTTTACTCGTAAACGGAATTGCTCCATGGCTTGAATTTTTGTTAAGTATTTTGTAGCGAACGAGGGCGATTTGTTTTTATCTCATGGGTCATTTATTTGTTGTTTTTCAGGTCAGCGGACCAGTTCAAGTGGCAGACAGCTCTACAGGAAAACCCAGACAAAGTACTGTTAAACTACCAGCAATTAACGGTTCTTCATCAGCGAGTGGCTCAAAGTCCTAACCCTCCAGAACACCAAGAAACTGTGGGAATACCCGTTTGAAAACTAATTATTAGAAACATTCATAAAGAATAGAATTACAGCGTACTAACGTTTTTGCAATCTTCTACCCTGCTATCCTTGTGTGGCCGTTTTTTTGCAGTGAAAGCATTTTACTACCCGAAAATTTGAGATCTGGTTTGCGCCGCCTCGAGATGAACAATGTGGCGCACCGATTAAAGTTCTTAGCGATTCCAACAATTTTTTAAATTCATTGTTTCGTGTCGAACAGCGTATAAGGCTTCAACTCACATAGACTAGGAAGAGATTATTATGTTTGACTGGTGAATGATTAATGGACAGCGCCTTAAGATAGCAATTGCATATCAATCGCTTGTCCACATGGTACAAACATTTTACTCCGAACGTGGACAAAACAAATACAACGGTACGTTTAATCCTAACGTGAAATAATCATTTCTCGATGAATTAGATTTCTGATTAAACATATACAATCAGAGAATACAATAAAACTAGAATTTACAGAACAGGATCGTCATGCGGGAAATCTTCTTTTAACATAATATAACTGAAAAAAGCGAGGACGCTGATGAAAGAGCACATCAGAGCTGAATTTTCAATAAGTTGTCTCACTTGCAATTCGCATTGTATTTGCCAAGTAATGATGAGCTTACCCACTTCCCCTGGGGCCATTCTTGCAGTATAACTCTGCACTCCAAACTTGACCACTTTTAATAGCTGAACTGCTGTCTAACTCACATCCACTACCGCACGCAAAACCCTTTGAAATTTCTCGAAGCAAGATAGCGAGAATATCCCGTCCCCATATGTAAAAAAGGTTTCCTCGCTGCGAGCTAGAGACAAAATGTGTCTGCAAGCCGGCGTTTCCCCGCGCTCCACATGGCCACTGACACCCAAAGTCGAATCAGTGGCATTCGCCTGCTCTTCCACCAATTGCATTTTTCGTTTGGGTTACGTTTTCCCTCGTATTGACTCACAAGTGCGATTAGGAATTCGCCATGTCTTGTAGGCGTGCGCGTCTCTCGACAACTGGAAGGTCAAGTCAGCAGTCAGCGGTCTTATAACATAGAGTTCCCAGTTTCCCACTCCTCTGGTCGCCATTTTGTGAGATCCTTCATTTTCTTCATGTCGAATCGCGTGTTATAGTAACTCATTAAACATTCTTCTTGAGAATGAGTTTTCGAAGTCATTCAGATAATGGACCAGGTTTTGTGGGCATTAAATTTTGCCAAGAATGGTAAGACTGTGTTTTTGTGCCGGGTATTTTGTAAATTATCTACAAATCATTCTCATGTTTCATTTGCTTATCGATTGTTAAATTTAACTTGTAAAAGCTTATGGATAAACTACTACTTTTCCTTTGTAGCAACAACATGTTGTACCCAAAGGAAGACAAAGATAACAAGATACTGTTATATGCTGTAAGTTAAAATTTCATTTCCTGAGAACTTTCTACCATTCGGCGGTATTGTGGCCGATCGACATCAAGAAAAACTTTATTGTTTTTCGCAGATTGTCTATTACATATAGCTTCTGACGCATGGCAAAATATTCAGAGTTAAAAGGAATTATAGTTGTTCAAGTACACTCATCTACATGTGTCCTCAAACATTACTGTTTTTAAAATATATAATTACCATGTGAACCTGTTGCTAGGTTGAAATTTATCTACTCTGGTAATTGGAAATCATCGACCTGCAGTTTACAAACCAACAACCCACTTTCAGTTATTTGAAATACAGCTTAAAACAAGAGACATCACTATGAAGCATTAAGGAACATGGGATTTGCAAGGTTTCTTCCCCCTGCCTTTGTTTTTACAAGAGTTTCAGCAACTCTTTCCTTAAGTGGCAGCTGATGTTGTAATAGGCGGAAGTGTCTTAAGGTGAAGCTTAAATACGAGCCCCTGCTCGTAGGCCAAACAGAGGATGACAAGTAATTTGGTATTATCAATTGAGTTGATAATGTAAATTGGCCACTGTAAAGAGTTTGAAAGATGAGTTTTCTAATGTTTGCCCATGGTCAGAGTGAATATGGCCTGCTGTTCTAAAATCTGTGGATTGCCACTAACAGGCTAATATTAAACCACTGGCTTAATGTTGATTTCACAATGTAGAAAAAAATGTTTTACAAAGTTTTCTTTGGGGATACCTTTCTCAGTGTAGAAATTGTGACTATCAGCAAGAAGCCGACAACAGTTGCATCTATGTGAACAAGATCACTCATGAAGTCAAGTAAGTATCACGGGCCATAGCTAGACCAAATGCAACATGCATTCAACTCTTTTTTTTATGAAAGCTTGATATCAGGTGCAAGGAATTTTGAACAGGAATTTTGACTATATATATCTTAAGTGTGGGAGTAATTTTTATAGCGATGAACACTACTTAAGCAATTGTTAAAAATTAAAGCAGGAAAAAATAGAAATGCAGGCTTGTACAGGAGTTGAACTCATGACATCTGTGATATATTTCTAGTTAGATGTTTTGGAGTGTACTATTGCTGAATAATTTTACTAGTTGTGTTATATTTTGACAATCTCACAGGCTGAGTCAAAATACAAACAATGATGTGTATTCTTTTGAAACAAATAACACAAGAGTGGCCAACCTGTCAAACAGGTTTTTTTTATGCACAAAAAAAAACTTTCCAGATAACAACTTGCTGTATTGTGGTTGGTTCTTTCATTATTCATACTCTGTTTAGTGCAGTTGGATAATAAGTGTGTTTGGTCCCTCATAATTGGGCCAAAATACATAGCGCGGAAAAATAATTGAGACAAATTCAATCCCAGGATACACCAACTGGCTTTTGGTCACATAAATTGTCTGTTTAGATCAGTCAGTGTTCTTATCTTTCCAAATAAATCATAACACTCCCACATTCATATATTTGTGTTATGATACAGTGAACTGACACAGATTGTAACAGATGTTGTTGCTGATCCCACATTACCAAGAACAGAGGACCATTTATGTCCCAAGTAAGTGAACTTCAGTTTGGCACAAAAACTGTTTTCTATTGGTTGTTTAAAAATAAAAATAAATAGAATTAGTTGACTTTTAAACAAAGCAAGGGAAAATTTCACAGCAATCCAGTGAAAATTTGCATTTACTGTTGGTGGTTTATTTTGCTTCACAGTGGTCTATCAGGGGTCAAAACTATACCTCTACACCTGGTGCACTGTGTAACCAGTACGCAGAGTCATTCTAAATGCTGTAATTTAACCATGCCTTGTCATGGTTAACCCTTTAACTCCCATGAGTGATCAAGACAGAATTTCTCCTTACAATATCAATACAATATCAACCAGGCAAGCAATGAGAATAAAGAAAACTACCAATTTGGGGATAATTAGTTGATCCAATACTGAATTCTTTGAACTAACATTATAAGAGCTGTATGGCAGACAGTAAGGAGAATTACTAATGAGATCTTGGGAGTTAAAGGGTTAATCATGTAACTCCCAAAAGTGATTTTCATGTCACCTCTCCTAATAATATCTATACATTATCCAGCAAACAGGTAATGAGAATACTCAAACTTGTCAGGTAGAGGTTATCTTGATTGAACACCAAATTCACATTACTAGTTTACAAGGAAATGTATAGCAGCTAGAAAGGAGAATTAACAATCAGATCTCAATCAGAGCTAAAGGGTTAATTTGCTTGTATACATGTACCTTTGTTTGAGAAACTACATGTATCTTAAAACAGTAGCACAATACTTGAATTAAAAGAACTGTAAGTTTCTTTGCTTTAAGTAGTCTTCAGGGATTTCAAAATTTATGAGTTCTTAGTGTGTACTGTACAATTCATAGATCGGTTCCCATCCATACTTCTGGTTGGACTGAGGCTCTGTAAGTGAACAGTGTCTTGCTCGAGAGTGTAGCAACACAGTAGCCCAGTCTTGGCCCGAACCCTGAATATTTGATCAGCTGTTCAACTGATTTACATTAGACCTCAATGCCTCCTACTGATTTAATACATACACATGTTCCTCTGTTTTAACCATTTTTTATTGTTTTAGATGTGGTCACAGTGAGGCAGTGTTTTTCCAATCACAGTCCAGCAAAGCAGATGTAAGTTTTTTTTAATCTACTGTTAATCTAACCAACCTGTTGATATTCAGTACGTACTATCTATCCATTTTTTCCTCATTTCCCAAACAAGTCCCGGTAAACTTGGTTTTGAAATTTCATCCTTCTGCGTGAACCGATCTGAACATAACCTTTTTTTTTTCATTGTATTTTAACAGCAAATGAGATTGTACTATGTGTGTACAGCGGTTAACTGTGGAAACAGGTGGACTGAATGAGAGACAACTCACTGAACTTCAACGTACAGTAAAAAATTATAAAGGGAACAATATTACCAACTCCTTCTGCAGACGTCCTGACGGCTCTTCAGGAAAAAGCAAGATGAAACCATTATTGCTGTTCGAAAACATTTAATGTTTAGTATAAGAAGAGAGAGACTGTGTTTTTCAGTTCACTTAGTTTTTCGCTGTCCTAAGCAATGACGTGGTTAGCCCCGATTCCACATTATTTTTCCCTAACGAGGTTTAACGAGTCGCTTGGAGATTTAAGAGCATGCACATTGTGATAAGTTTGGTGCGGTCGTTCGTGAAAAAAAGATAATTAGACTCAGCAGGCTTTCTGTTTTGTTTTAATGATTGATAAGGAATCACAGAATGTTGTTATAGGAGTAGTGCCGCGATTCCAACAAGAAATTAAAATCTTCGAGTGGATTCGAGCCTTGCCTCTCAGACACTAGTCTGGCGCTTCTGCTACGTTGATCCAGATTGATCCCTATGGTTCACACGCTGTAGAACGTATGTATTCATTTTAATTGTGTAAAAGGCTGTCACATGGCTCCGTGGTGGTGCAGGTGTCGAAGTGCTCACTCTTCTCATTTGTTCAATTTTCCTTCCATAGTATCGTTACATATGTAACATTTTATTCCATGGACTCGGAAAAGCTTGTTTAAATTTGAATTTAAGAACAGTGCAATTAATTCTGTAGGCAGACCTACGATGGAGGAACCTGCGCAGACTATTTTCAACGTTAAAACCAGTTCCTTGCTTCAAAATTGCGGCTGAAAAGAGGTATCTTTACATTAGCCAGTAATTCATGTGACCTGTCTACAGGTCTGTAACCCATTAGAAGCATCACACCTCGGCAGTAATGTTCAATAACATCAATTTCATGAGGGTGCACTTTCCATCTCCAGCGGTTTGCTGCCAGCCATGCGTCATCCTTGGTGCATGTAGCTTGTTCTCCGTCCTGTGCATGATTACAGGCACTCCTGCTCTGCCGTGTTGTCTCGTTAAGCCAAGTCTTCACACTATCCAGGACAGACAACCCAGCAAACTCGTAGAGAGCTGAAAGTTCTTTCAACGGGTCCAGTGCTAGGTCTTCGTAGCGTTGGAATTTGATCCGGTTGCGCAGAGACTTCGGCAGTTTTCTTATAGATTCCAAGTTGTCTTCAGTCTCCTTACAGGTCCAGTAGCTAAATTCTCGAGTTCCCAGCCTTGAAGAATCTCCCCGGTTGTCTTTGAAGAACCCCACGCTGAGCGCGGAAGCGATTACAGCTCTGGGATCTCTTACGAGGAATATAATTCTGCAGTTAGTATCCATTGTGTCGCATGCTCCTAAAATACTTCCGATGTTATTATCGGGTACACGATTTACGAGGACCTTTAACACTGTCATTTCGTAATGCTCCTTACACGTGCTTCCCAAAGACTCGCTAGTCATGGCAGGACAAAGGTGTTGATCCCACCTTTCATCAGAAGTACTGTAAGGACATAAAGGTGGCGATGCAATGGCTTTACTGACACGTGGATGATCCGGTTTGCGATAAAAATGCTCGATATCCGCTAATAATTCGGGAGAGTCGAATTTACACTGAAAAATGCCAGATAGAAACTCTTTGGCGAGGTCATTGTAATCCGATCCAGGCTTCAGATTCGTATGGACTCTTTCGACGGACTGTAAAGGCTCATACATGTAAAATACAGAAGGATGATGATTGAAAATATCTCCCATGAGTGTGGAACCTGATCGACCGTGTGAAACGACGATAAGATTTTTCCTTGCTGCTTTTGATCCATCATTGGATTCCATTTTTGAGTCAGTCAGGTCCTTTTCCAAATTACTAAAATCTTGTTCTTCATCAGTTTGTTGAGTCTTTCGTATATTTACCTGCTCTGTAGAGTACGACTCCAAGGTAAAATAACCGATCAAACACAGCACCAGCAGGCATATTAGTAATGGGATAGATTTTAAAATCCTTGTCATTCGCATTCGTCTTACAGTCATGTTGGTTGAAGTTTCGAATTCTAAACAGAGCGACGAGAGCAAAATGTGGGAAAGAAAATCGATGACTTGCGAATCGTGCGTAACGCTCAAATGATACGATGCGCGTTGCTAGGAAATTGAACACCCTTTGGAAAGAACGAGTCGCCTATTGAAGATCTTATTTACATGATTTTTCAAATTTCGGGTTAGCGTTAGCGCATGGTAATGTATGCAATCTGTTGAAAGAAAGTAAGGAAAGAATATTCAAAGATGTATATCTGAAGTAAATGAATTGAAACAATTACCCTGCTTTGTGTGCAAAAATCTATTCATGTTCGATAAAAGAGCTTTCGTTATAGTTTTAGTGAGTTCCACGCTTTGTATCTAAATCAGTTTCTAAATTTTACTCTCGGTTCTGAGCATTTTTCTGTTAGAGACGACGTTACTAGTAGAACTTGAATATATTATGCACATATTTCTTTGTTTTCTTTCAACATTGGTGGAATCGGTGTCACTATCATAAGAGAAAATAGGCCAATTATTGTCCTAAGTTCAAACTCTGATATTTGATATATTGAAGTAAGACTAAGGTCTTCTTTGGGGCGATTCTTTGTGCTAAGATAACGACTTGATTGTAAATAATATAATAACCTCTGAAAACTTTCAAAAGAGACGACGTGTTTATACTTTAAGCCCCAATTCAGCTGTCTAATTCTGTCAGATTTATTAAGAAGTAGGCCCGTGCCCAATTAAGAAATTGGACTCTGGTAATCAACTATTACTTAGTGCGGAGAGCGAGACAGAAGGAAGAATTAAGCTGAGAGTTGGCATAGTGCTCCTGCGCTTGATGGTTATATCCCGATTGAAAACACGAGCATTCGATTTAAGTATTGATGCGCATGAAACACAACAGACATGTTTACACAAATAAAGGGTTTTATCTAGTAAATATTCCGCTCCATTGGAGAGTGACTGGGGGCTCTTTCCCTTTATCAATCGGATGGGGGATTGGGGAATCACAATGGGGTAAACCGTTAGCTGTAAAACAGCCTAAAAATTTTGCCGTCAAGCGTAAAAATTGACTAATTTTAATCATTGCTCGGAATAAAATTTAACAGTAAGAAAATATCTGGTGACGACAATGGTCAGATGTTAATCATTAACCGTAAAATAGCGAAATTTTAACCATTAGCCGTAAAAGCCATCACACCATTGAGACCCTCGGTGTCCGCTTGGTTAATTTCAGCGCGCAAATAGAGGAACAGGTGCATAAATTTTTAATCGTTTTAGAAATGCAATTAATGTAATAATGAATTTTTTTGATATTTGACTTGCTTCTTTAGACGGAATAATTACTTCCTGATCCTGAGCAACTTCTTGTAGTTCATCATTGACATCAACAATTTCGTCTCGCACTGTCTGTTCGGTAGAGGTCTCATGCACGACTATTGTTTCAAGGCTGTCGCCTTTGTCCTCCCATGAGCAATTATGTCACGGTGATTTTAAAATAGGAAAGGTGTTGAGTTTTATATTTGAATAAATATGTTGTGGTAAGTCATGGAAAGACGTTACTGAAGTATAGAATGACGAGGAAACGAGGAACATGGAATAACGAACAGTGCTCAGCGGTAACCTGCATAAAGATTCAAAATGGCGGATAGACAAATGAAAACAGTTGAAACGATGTAATCGAAAGGAAAGTTTCACTTTAAAATGTTATTAAATATATTTAAACAGACAGTCGACTTGTTTCTGGTTTGATTAGGCGTATAACCACGTAGCAGGAGCCCATAACGGTAATGGCTCCTGGCACGAAGCTATACTTTAACCTGTTCGTCTGGATGTTCTGAATTTTTGTCGCGACAACATCGCGACGTCTCATGACTCTCGATTGTTCAGTTTGAACCTTTTCATGCTTTGATATCTGTTGTCACGTCCACTTTCAAAGGGAGTATTCCACCATCAAAGTGATAAAAACTCTTCCTTTAAAGCTGCTAAAGTTTCATACTGTTTTCATACTGTTTTGAAATATAATTAGTATTCTGTGTAATATAATTAGTATTCCGTAGTATAACTTTGAGAAGCTTTAAGAATGAAAACAGAAAAGAACAAAACAAACAAAGGAACAAAATATTCAGTCTACAGACTCATAAGTATTAAAGTTACCGAAATTCCTTTCTTTCAAAAAAATTATTTCTATTTATTTTAAAAAACTGATGCAGAGGAGGTTCATTTTTTTTACAAATTATCTTGAACTTCAGCCCGTCTGGTCACCAATCACGCCTTGCTATGTAAAAATGGCAAAAAAAAAAAAAACCCCAGCGTGTGTTATTTTTGAATACGTAAACTGAAGATTATAACCTCATCATTGACACTCTAAGGAGGCTGGATGGAAAGACATTGTTTTTTAATGTACAAAAATAATTATTCGATTATTTATCAATTTTTGGGTGCTGTTATTGGCCCACACCTAAACTCGACCCATTTCCTGGCGGTGTTAGTTAATGTAGCACCGAGGTTAAACTTTCTGCAATATTTATACGTGTTTAAGTTTGCTTTGTTTATCGGGTACAACACGGTGCACAACTTTTTATTTCTTTTGGAGTGAACTGAAAAGTAAAGCGTTTGAATAATGTCAGATCGGAGGTGTGTGCCAAAAAAAAGAGAGGAAAGTATGTTCTTAAGATCGTGGGCGGATGTGTCACTTCTTCAATGTTCTGTTTCTTCAGTGTACTTTGACGTCAATTGTCTGGAAATACGACATATAGTATACGAAATTCAATCATCCACCACACAGACCTGTAGGTTATTGGAACAGCCAAGGAAATAAAGGGTTATCATATCTAATGAATTGTAATTTGTTGTTTTGTCCTCAGGGGTGTGAATGGAGCGTTGTTTTAATTACAATTCTTTCTGATAAACTGCGATAAGAAAAAATAATTATTAATATTCGATATAGATTACATCATAATTCAATTAACTCTAGTTTTTTTTCTTTTTTTTATTACGTTTGTCACCAAGAAATATAATTTTTTTTTGAGTCGGCTTGAATTACTCAAATAAAGACTTACTGATGGAACCAGTGAAAACAAACTACCAAACCTTGTAATACTTAAAATAATCTTGTATTTTTTTATGGCTTCAAGGTGAGATTTTTCTCATGAAATTGTTATGCCCGGAAGTAAAAGGAAGGAAGGACCTAAAAAAATAAAAATTGCTCTTGTAGATGATGAGATAAGATAAACTCACGATCATTAAAAATTCAAATTACATATTTTAATTATAGGCCAATAAATCTCTCTACAAAGTGGTCGCCGAAGTTCATTAGTTATTCTTAGAAAATGACTAGCCTAGCACTTAAAATATTTTTTAGAAGAAGTACTTGACTAAAATAAGATGCTAGTTGTGAGAACCAAATTATTGACAGAGGTTAAAAATATGACAAATCCTCTTATCTACCAATGCTTCTTGTTCTATGTAAAAAAACTCAAAACTTATTCAGCCAACTTGTTGTTAATGCCACACAAAAAAACCTTTGAACTTGATCAAGAAATGTTTAAACGTCATTTCTCGAGAGTTCTTTTAACATGACATTTCTCGAATCGTGCTGGTTGAACTTCTGGAAAGCGCGGGGCTGCTTTCGCAAACTTGGCCGTGAAAAAGTGCGTACTCTTGTCTTAACAGGTATCAAATTTCTGAGTCAGCACGTACGTGAACTCCTGTTACCGCTTGCGGGTTTAGAGGGTGGATTTTTTTTATGCTTGAGAGAAATCATGCTCATACTGTAAATTAGGACTCCGTTTACGAAAGAAAATTTGCGCATTTTTAATGCATTTCCTTGTTGATAGAAATAAGAGAGATGGTAAGTTTTGAGCTCGGTAAATAAATAAAGAAAGATGATTCTCACTGCGGAGTCTCTGTGCCTCAGTGGTTTGAGCATCAGAGCGCGAAATCCGAAGGTCTGAGGTTCGAACTGAACAGATTGTGTATTTATGGCAGGAGACAGGGGACGGGAGAACCCTGGAAGCTCTCGAACAAAAATGAAAGAGAATGATAATCGATAATACTACCGCGGCTTGAAGTGGAAAATCTGTAACGCGGGAGAAAAAAACTCGTGAAAGAAGTCTTCGGGAATTTTAATTTAGGAAAGGCAGCGGGAAAAAATAGTAACAGATTAAGTAGACCGTAATAATTTCCGTCCCTCGCAATAACATGAGACTACAAGCCTTGGATGTTTGTGGTTTTATCCAAACACAGAGAAAGGACACGACAGTCTTGTATGTCAACATGTTGACGTTACACATTAATTGAGATAATCGAGACATGAAAGAACCTTTCAATGATCGAATCAAATATGATGAACATATTTTGAATATCGTGAATCGTAACACCCGTCTTCGGTTTCAAAACTTCTGGAGACATTAGTCAGACACACATAAATGTGGCTGTGAGGGTCGGAGAAGCTCTTGAAACGGTTCAATGCTCCGGAAAAGGTGTGTGAGATAGCCTTTGTGTTTTCTGTTATGACATAAAATCCCTTTCTGTTTAAATTTTTCACTCTTACTCTCAGTTCTCTCAAATGCTTAAACCAGGTAATATGCGTTTATTTTAAAGGACCTAAAAAATTCAACTGAGCGACTCACGAGTTTAGGACAGCCGACTCCTCGTTCCAGAATTACTCTGTTGATTTCCTTGGTCAACTAAACGTAAATTACGAGCTGGTAAGGAAAGAGTTGTGTTCTTCACTCGTCTTGAAGGTAATTTCTGCCTTCAGAAGTGCGCAATTGTATGATTTACCTCATTTGTCGCTAAACATGAGAAACATTTATTTTCGTTACTGATTAGATCAGTAAATTTCTGTTCTAAGCTTTCAATTTCCTCAGCTTATTTTGCGCGATCGGAAGTCCCAAATCGCGCTGTAGCACGTGTCATCGCAATAGCTGAAAGTTATCCTCTAATGCTTCGGGACGAGATATGAGTTTAAGGATTTGCATACAGTTTGCGTTGGTTATTTAGAAGTTGAACAGAGAAGCAGTGCGGCACCAACGTTCCGACCGAGAGGTGCACAGTTTTTAATTGCATAACAAGGGTTGATTTCAAAATTGAGGATCACGTCACATTTATTTAGGTTATTAGCCAAAAGAACGAACTGATCTGCCGCGTGAACTTCTTATGAGTGGTGAATGATAATTATTGGTAAATTTCTGTTTAGATTATTACGTGTGAATTAAACTATCTTTCATCAGTTTACTCGACTATACAACATTTAGATTCTCACGATCGAATGAGTTTGTGTTGTCCAGTTTCAGTGAAACGTCATCATGAAGGTCCAGCACTGGTTATTGTCATTTTCTGCCGGCTTGTGTTGGCTTTTGGCGCCAACCGGTTCAGAGGTGAGAAATATCACAGTTTCTCCGTAGTAATGTTGTATAGTCATGTATTCCCCGCAGATTTAACCGTAACTTACACTGTCTGATTTAATTTTGTCCTCGAGCTCTCGTATATAGTCAAACTAAGGGTTAATGTTGGCCAGATTGTCGTTTTTCTCAGAACGACGAGGGGGTGTCAGGCGACAAAACAAGGGATTTTTCCCACTGGTATTTTGTTGACTTACTCCTCTAATGCCCCACTTGGGGGGTGGAAAACGAAAATATTGGTATAAGAAGTTTTCAAAAGGGAAGCCGGACGTAAACAGGAATTATACTGTTTGCCATGAAAATTGACGCTTGAATTGCAACGAGACGCCGCCGTTCCAATTAAAATTGTGAACGGTTTAGACATCTAGTTCTTGAAAAGTTTAATTTATCCAAAATAGGCGAGACGCAGAGATACTCCCCGATGTTGTTCTTTTTTTGTTTTTTAACGTGTGGAACTGATTACCTTTGGGTTGAATCATGACCTTTGTACGAAAAAACTGCCAATGATTACAACACCCTGTCAAATTCATTGAGGGCGCGCTCAAAATTCTCTAATGATGCTATTCTAGGCCCGAACATATCCTGTAAAATTGACCAAACTGTTGTTCTCCTAAAGCTCCGTGAGAAGATGTTTTCGCGGTGTTTAAAAGATATCTGTTTCAACTTTAAATCTGGAAAACTGCACCTCACGTGATTGAAGTGTTACAGGTGTTACAATATTCCCGAAGGGCGAACAATGTTGAAGTCTTTCCCATGTTGCATTCCAGGGCTTCGTTTCGAAAACGCAGTCAATAACCGCAGTATTAAAATTCAAGTTAGGGATTGTCTATCGACCCATGTCCTGTGGTTATTAGAAGCACATCGCCGGGTTGTCTTTCATTCCTAAACAGTTTCGCCGAGAGCGCTAATTGTATAACTGTCAAGAGGAAAATGTCAAATTGCCAAAATGCCACGGGTTTGCGACCTTCGTTAGTTACCTTTTCCATAACTGTCACAAACGTTTCCTTATTTATACTTTCCACCCTTTGAAACCTCGAAATTTTGAAATTCTTCACAACGGGATACCTTGTGTTCATGTCTAAGGAAAGTTAAAAATAAGTCTTGTCAGACAACAGCACAAGTGTTCTCCCTTTACCATTACATCAACAAAGCTACGCACGCCTTAAATTTATCTTTATTGGGTAATTAAAAAAACCCAAAGAGGATTTTTCACCCTAAACTTGAAAGCAAATCTCGACAGGTAGGGATGAAAAGGGGATTTCAGACCCTGAAGTGGCTGATACTCAATAGGAAT